TATAATGTATATATTGCATATATAACATTCCCGAATTTTTATATTTTAAAATGGTGAATATCGCAGTTCAGGTGCAGTCATGTGGAATAATAAGTTAACTGCTTGAGTGGATCAGCAGGATAATTTCATCATATTACAAATAAAACATGATTTTTCACATTGACTCTTAACGAATAAATGCAGTTGCTTGGTAGAAGTTTTAAGAAATCCAAGTGAACTTTTGGTGATCACAATTTTAAGAAGTTAGCAGTGTTTGGAGGCAGACCTGCCATGAAAGCTTCCCAACAGGAGTACTTTCATAGCAAATTTGTATCACCATCATATTCGTCACTATCATTTTATTCTGTTCACATGCAATAGAAAATGGCTCTTATTCTATTTTATTTTTTGAATAATCAGATATTTATATAACCTTTCTGTATAGCAATTGCTCATTTATTTCTGTAAACTACACCTTTGCATTTTGATTGAAATTTCTTTAAACGATATTACTTTTGTATCCCAGTTCATTTCTAATCAGAAAAATGAATTGGATTCAACTTAGTTCGAACATAGAACTAGTTTTTGCAAAAATTCGACAAGTAGTGGTAACACCGTACAAGAGGAATGTGACTACAACGTCGTTCACTGTCTCATTATACTTGACTTTTGTTTGAAATACAACGTGTATTTCATGTTGTTATTATTCGAAAATATCTATGAGAAGTTCCCTGATTGAGTTTCTTCAGCTGGATGATTAGGGTAGCTTTCAAAGTGGTGAGGAACGGAAAAGGGTCTAGCCTGCAATGAAGAACAAAATTGAGCTTCTGATATCTATTGTTTTAAGATTATCAGTGATCAACATTGGGTTTATGAAGTTCATCTAAACTGAAATATAAAGTACAATAACTTGAAGTCGTGAAAAGAATCATTAAAATATTTGATCGGTCGCTAGTTCGGCTTTGAAATGAGAAGTACAGTGAATCGTTAAAAGGTAATGCAGGTTTTGATCGCTAATCGTTCTCGGCAACTAATGACAAGTGATGGCTGATTCAACAAGTAGGGTTACAAAGATTTAATATCGTGAGTGGATGCAGAAGTTGTGTACTTTTTATTGAAATAGGATTAAATTCTTACATTCTTCATATATGTTGGGATCGATTTTGCAGAAGGTCCCTTCTTTTTCCCATTACAGTTCCAAATGATTTATTGACCGACATTTAATTAAAAGGAGAATGCCCACTGCTTGTGTACTTCAGACTCAAAGTTTCCCTTATTTCCATTTGAGACAGGACGTAATATCAAGCGAGAGGTAACAATGAACGAGACACTGTAATGGCAAGCTGTTGCTATTTCAACAACCGCCGCGCCTTCGACACACTATCCGTTGCCTGTAGGTCTCATTAACGCCACTGACAACAACGCCTCGCTCTTTATCGGTACTAAAAAATGCCTGCCTGTGGAAGTGTGCCAAGTCAAGCGTCGTCTCTGATAGTGTCGTTTAGGAAACATGCAGTACCCTGCATGTCGTCCCTGTCCCTGATGCAGGATACTGCATGCTTTCAGCACTGCAGTGTCACTTAACGCGATTGTTCCTTGCTTATAGAGCAAAGGGATGGGAAAAAAGGGAAGGACAGCTGAAGATTTTATGGTGATGATGTCATTCGTGAATAAAGTGGGTGGGAGCCGTTACCCGCACTTCAGATACCAGGTAAACGATAGTGTCGCTACAAGGGACAGACCTGTATAATCATCTTGTCACCACTCTTCCCGCGCATCCCTCGCCAATATAGCCTTTTATTCTCATCTTGATTTTGTACCTTATCTCTCTTCCTCCCTTTGCATATACATATGTCTGCATTTCTGTCATACTCTCCATCGATTTGTAAACATGTCGTGTGCGGGCTATCTCTGTACTCCTGCTCTCTATCATATATAGACACACACATACATACATACATAGACACAGAATAACGCTATCGATTCACTACACCATGCTTAGTTAATTGTAAGGTTGAATGGTTGCTGCTACAATAAGGGCGCATTACTACCTCCATCATTTCGAGTTGTCTTATTGATTACTCTCTGTGATTTATCATCTCTGTGATCATCGCACTTAGCGATTTCAACAAGACCGCTACTTACTGTTTGTGGTTCTTGACCTGTGCATACCATACCGTACAATGAGAATGGGAAGGTGTTCACTTCAGATTCAATATTATAATAAATAACTAACAGCATCTGATATCAACTGTGCCATTGATTAATTAATGAAATGTCATCCATAGCTTCATCCTTCGAGAGTTCATACCATTTCATTCATTTCCTGTTTCTTTTCTCACATATTAAACAAAAAGTCTACTTTACTTCTACGTAATACCTTATAAGAAGTTTTCATTTATCATTAGCTGAAATTGATCCATGAACCATTTTCTGAAAAAAGAACGCAAAGGATGAAATGCTTGAAACCGGGAAGTTAACTTGTTATGTTAATAATGGTCAATTTGTGTTTGCTAATTTTGTCTGTCAGCTGGTAGCATCTTAACTTGTTGCTTCATGTCATTAGCTAGAGTCGCCCTTAAAATCTATCACAATTATACAAAGATTTCTCTCTCTATCCTTCTTTAAATTTTGAAAGTAGTGTTGTATTTTTCCACTATTTATTCTGACAAAATTTTCGAAAGTTTTTTCAATCATCGATTGGCCTTTACAGTTAACAAAAAGTTAGATTATCTGTTCATATTTCTTACCCTTTGTGCATTATATCAGTTTACAACTTCTCTTACTAAATTAAATGGGTAGGAAAAGTGGATAGGCAGAAATTCAACTTGTGACATAATATTGTCAATCCTATTAAGAACTTTTTTCATTTGAAGTCAAGATTCGAAAAGCACCGATTCCATTTTATTAGTTCGCTCGTTTTACACTTATCTGAAACATCTATTTTACAGTGAATGCTCTGAGGAAGTATTAATTTGAAAAAATGACTCTAGAATTTGCAATCGCTGGGAATCTCTCAACCGGTAAATTGAACTATGTTAAATTCGCTTTCTATGACTAAAGACTTGCTTGTATTTTTTTAATTCTTAACTTTCAGCCAGTACAAATTTCCGGTTTAAATCGGTTTTGCCTCTCTTTTTCATTAATTTGTTTCTTCTCTAAGTCTTTCCTAATCTTGTCATAGTTATAATTTAATAGGCGAATGTTTTGTCCTTTACGGACGAAACATCCGGTTTTCGAGATGAATTGGATTAATGGTTAATCTGAAGGAAGATAAAGAAGAAATTTGGCCAACAGATCAGGACATAATGAGAGCTATTCAAAGTGACAGAAATAACATTAGCATCTTTTTTTCCGAGGAAATACAAGGATTTTTGAAAGCGGTCTCGAAAGAAGGCTGATTAGTTCATAAGAAATGAACAAAATTTGATCCAAAAGGGAAAAAAAAAGTATTATTCTTCGGGAAAAAAACGCAGAGCATGTCTTCGATTTATGACATAAGTCGTTGATTTATCATAATATCATCACATAAAATAAAATGATATAAGTGGGATATTAGCTTAGAATTACTTATTAAGGTGAGATTAATTCAAAAATAAGCAGAAGTTTGTGGATTGTTCATGCACTATTTACTTTCTTATTTTCTTTCAAAATATATTTCATTTTTTTTGTCTGTTTGTTGAAGTTTCATTTCCTTCAACACTTCCATATTTTACTGTGCTTCATCATTCATTTGTCATTTATTTCGGTAGAAGGAAAAGAAGAAGCAATCTTTCAACATTTCAAATCAAAAGAAACCTTTTTAAAAACATCGGCATCTAACTCATACACCACTCGACATTAGATGTCATATGTTTAAGCTTAGTTATGCTTCTTTTAGTATTGTTGCGTAGTTTCTTATAATACTTTTAGCTTATTATGCCAACCTTGGAAAGCATAGCTTTTTAAATTTATATATTTCTTCCAAAGTATTATTAAGAATTTATTTCAGCATAATCAAAGCATCTTCACCAAAAATTATTTCGACAACGCCATCTGTCACGTTAAATGATTGCCCGCTGTCAGTTGGGAAATTCACTATTTGGTGCTGAAACACTGAGACTGATAAATTAAATTGATAACGTGTTTTAACCTTTGATTGTTTTATGTGCAAATTATTTAACTTACACTTCAAAATATTACTAAGCACCTTATGCCATCGATATTCCAGCCTTGTAGGTGCTCCTGAGTTGCTTATGCAACTTTTAATACATTTTTAATTCTTCAATCCTTTATATGACTTTGCATTTTTCTAGTTTATTTATCATTCCGGTTTGGAACTATTTAACAAAACTTCAGTTATTTTGTTTTCAAAATCAGAAAAAAAGAAACCAGCCAATTATTAAAGAAGGAAATTATGTTGATGAATGAAACTAAAATGTCACTGAATGATTTTATATGTATAATTCTAATCTAAGAGACGCTTATTAATGGAGATCCATCAGCAACTTATCCTCTGAAAGTTATGAGATGACTCTTTCTATATTGGCTGTTAAATATCTTTAACAAGTACTTCATTTGCATTTTGCAAGCAAATTTTCTTTGAAAAGAATAGAAAATAAGCTAATTGTTGTATGCTAATGCTTTTGTGGCTTTTATCTTTCTTTTCTTCATTTGAAGGATATCATCTAATACAGTCAGTACTTCCCTCCCTCTTATATCCTCTTGTATTTTCTCTACTGAAAATTATTGTTTCATCATTTGTTTGCCATATTTGCTGTTCTATATCTTTCATTTCAAATTATTCGAATATTCCATTGTTTGTTTCTCTCAGCCTTTCACCCTATCTCTTAATTCCTTCCTCTCCTTCTTTAGTATAAATATTAATTTTATACCATGAGAAGGAATTTCTCATATACGTAAAATCTTAAACTATGTACTTTGTTGCTGTTTTGAAAGCTTGAAGTTCATCCATTTCTTTCTGACTGATTCATTAAGTTCCTGACTCATTCTGACTCATTAATTTTTTCTCATATTTTAATCCAGCATACTATGCCCGAAGCACATATTAGTGGAATTATTTTAACCTGTCATTCAATTAGTCCTCATTTCCATTATGTTTTCATTCTTCAATTACGCACAAAACTACGCATGATTCGATTTGTTAACTGCGATTGCATGCATCAAGTTTAAATTCATTTCTTCCCTTCTTTTTGTCTGAGAGAAATGAGAAGATATGTTAGCATATCAATTACTCCCTCTTACTTATTTTACTAATGCCTATGCGTATTTTTCAAAATTTTGTATTTGTCAAGGTAATTGAAGGAAAGAACGTTTATCAACTTTTTTTCTATTTGTTTATTTCAACATTTCATCAGAATTTAATTAAATTACAAAAGAGTATGAAGTGTCTTATCATTTAATCCAATCTTATACAACGGGATTGTATGAACATTCGGTAGGATGAACAAGAAAAATGTGCAGTTGAAATTAAAAGACATGTTACCATCTGCTTGTCAAATATTATGTGAAAATATTGTTCATTAGGAAAGAGAAATACCGCTCAAGTATTCGACATAAAAAGGAGATTGGATTTTAATCTCCCAAACAAAAATTAATCTTTTATCCATAATGCTTTTAAATTTTTCACTTTTCATTCAACCTCAATTTTTTCTCCAATAGTTTTTAAATCGATCCGTTCATAGTTCAAGCTAATCAAGGCTTCAATAAACTTTAAGCATTCGAGTGGAAGCATAAATATTAGGAAAAAAAGTATTTAATGAACTAATTTTGAAGCATCTCGAAACCACCTTGATGAAAAACAATATGTAAGGATGTGTTTCATCTTCTTCTATCTTCATCCGTATCATTAATTTTCATTTTACGATTTATGGAATTTTTGTAATCCATGATTAATTAACCAAAATTATGTGTTCTGAAATCAAAATAACATAAACACATCAATTCGAGAAAAGAAATTCCCTCATCAGATTAATGACAAAGAATGAAATTATATAAAGGAATCAAATGTCTGAATGACTAAGTCCAATGCGTAAGAAATTTTTTATAAAAATATTTGATCACTTTACACAAAATCTTATATATTCTAAGAGAGAAGATGTGGTTCATTACAAAATATGCTCGAATTGTGCTCCTTCGCTTAATTATTTTTATAGCACTATGCAAATTTTATCATTTCCTTAGTAAGTGATGTAAAGAATATTGGAACAAATTTCTAATTTTGGCTAGTACGAAGAAGCAACGTTGAATCCATTACTTCTATACTATTGAATTATGCGCTCAATGATAAGTGCTTTGGGAACATACGTGTTTGCTTTTCATTTTGATAAGATTGTCCATTCTATGACTACTTAAAGTGGTCATTTAGAGCTTAGTTAAACTATCTTCGTTTATTATATAATTATGTGCTCCCTTTCTATATACGAATAACATATGAGCACTGTATATTGTAGTTGAAAATAGGATCACTACTTAGCTAATGCGAAATTTCAGGTTACAATACTATCAAATACAGAATGATATTTTTTTTCGTGATCTTAAAAAAATATTCTTTTTGCTTTTGAATAAATGATATCTACTGTTAGGTTTTCATTCATATAGGTTCATCATAATGTAATTGTTATATAAGTAATAGAATTATATGGGAAGTGAATTATAAAACTTACTGATGAACACTTCTCCGCTGATAACTTGCAATTTTTTCATCTTAGTTTCTGTAAACATTAAAAAAATTTGAAACTTTTTTTTCGAAAAAGATGTTTTATAAAAATCATTTTTCACATTTGCAAGTTCAGTCTATCATAATCGGAAAAAGTCCATTTTAAGCGATGCATTATTTAATATTCTGTGGGACAGTAATTCCTCCAGTAGTAGTAGTAATTCAGTAATTTGGGAAAATATTGTGTTTCATATGCAATTTATTAAGTTCATGAAGCACGAGAACAATTATATTTGATACTTCAAAAATCTTGATAAATATTTTTTATAGAAGTTGAATGAGAGAAGATGAAAGTGTATATGGGTGAGGAAATAAATAAATAATATGTTGAAGATGTTGTCAAAAATTTTACACATTGGCAGCATAAACCCATGAGCATATCCAGTATTAATATAATAGTCAAAGACAAAACGTGCATTAGCTTCTTCATTTCTGAAGCGCCTAACTTAAATAACATCATTCACATTCTTAAATCATTTATAATTACACAGCCTCATTTTGAAATCTAGAAACTTGAGCAAATGGAAAGATGAAGCTGAGCTAGGATCAGCAGAGAAATGATTCCTTCATTCATCTTCAGACTTATTTCATACCATTTATAAAGCTCATATATTTTTTGATTGCGGGATATGAACGACCATAGTTCTATTTGCAAAACTTGCAGTTGTAAGCTTTCAGCAAAGTTTTACTCCATACTGATAAATTTGGTTGTACTTTCAGTAATAATGACAGGAAAAGGTGTTGTGATGGAGAAAGTTGCAAAACAGTTCAGATAGCAGGGTTGACCTCTGTATAGTATTTAAAAGGAAGAACTAATAAGGAGAAAGAAAATCGGAGAAACTAAAAAAACTGAAATGGGAGCAAGGTAGACTGAAATTTCTTTTTCTATGTGGTGTTCTTGATCACCTCGCTAACAAAAAATATCGAGAAGGGAGCGGGAACTAAGGGAAGCGAAATTGGAAGACGTTCTGTTTTCAAGGAATGAACATGGGCAGAGTGCCATTTAATGAACTAAAATATGAAAATGAGTACTTGATATTATATAATTATGTGTTCAAGTCATTTTCACTTATTTGGTTTATTTTCTTTGTACGTTTATCAAAGATATAATAATATCAAGTTGTTTGAACAGCGTTCAAAAAATAGAACAGATGAAATGAGACAGGAATTACAAGAACCGAAAAAGTTACGAATTTCTTTCTCTTTTCTCATTTCCATTTCGATATCTTTTCATTCTTAATGAAGTGTTCATCTTAAGATAAATTTCCATTTTTGCCTTTTTTCTTTTACACACTAATATTTGATATTTGTTTTCATTATATTTGTTTATTTACTCGGCATGTGCCAGCATTTACTACAATCTCAGGTAATATATAATAAGTCGTAGTCAGAATTAGTTTACTTTCGCCGTTTTAAATTTTTGCTTACAAAAATTTCTGATATTTCAATCATCTCAATCGTTTAAAATCGAATAAAATTTTGTAATGTGCAATGCAATAGTCTCAATCTCATTCTTTTCCAATATCTAGAAATATTGATGAAATCAAAATATATCGCGATTTTAATAACGATTGAATAATTTATTCGAAACATATATTTTATTGAAAATTAGCGTTTTCTGTTGAATCTTTTGGAGAAGTTTTAGTGGTCACATTCATTTAGAGACCTTTCTTTCTGCATTATATGTTTCTTTTAATCCCATATCAAATATAGAATTGGAAGTCCGTGCTTTTACATACATGTATTTATATTTACTTAATTTATTTCTTCGACCAGCTCCGCTCTAAAATCTCGTTTCACTTTCCGGCGTTCCTAAATTCTTTTTTTTTTCAGGAGAGGGGTTGTACACTCAACTAACAAAGAAAGTAGTTAGCAAGAGGATAATTGAATTTTATACATCAACAGTGATATACTACCAGCAACTTTCAAAAAGGCATTTTAAGAATGCCGTTTTCATGCTTGCCTTTTTTTGCTTGCAACAGGCAGGTGGACATGTTGGATCGCCGACAGTGTAATCTCCAATCGATACCACATGATATCGATCGGAATGCGCGAACATTGGAAGAAATGTATTTGGATTGCAATCACATCAAAGATCTCGACAAGGTTTCAGTTTCTCATTTCTTTCCCATAATGTAAATGAATGTGGAAATCCAATCTAATATGATGTAGTGATCGTGCATCCCTGCATGTGAAAATCACTTGAAATACCGATTTTTCATTGCTACATTTCTAATCTGCAATAACTTTTACTAATAGTAAACATAAAAAGCCTTTTTTTGGACAAGTAGTGTGATTTATTTAGCGTTTTATAGTGCATTACTTTTTTTTGTTCATTTATCTTCTCTCATTATCAGTGTGATACTGTAAACAAGTCAAGGTTATACAGTCTTATCTGGCAAAGTCGCTCTTATTTATTGCATCGAAAACATCTACATAGAAAACAGTATCATAGATTTGCAAAGGAATGTCAAGGTTAAACAAAAAACGTGACTTTTTAATTTCACCTCTCAGAAGACATGTATTTTCTGACATTTGCAAGTATCATCTTTTTATCGATCCTTAACCGAATTCAATATTATTATATATTTAATTTTGTAGCCGCTATTTCGATGTCGAAAATTGAAAATTCTAAGTTTGAGTGAAAATGAAGTTATTCGTTTGCCCTCCGACATTGCTCACCTTACTTTTCTCGAGGAACTCAATCTAAAAGGAAACGGTAAGTGCTAATAACTGAACCTTCTCAGAAAGGTTTTAGAAATTTTATTAAGATGAGATGAAATGAAGCAAGTAAAATTAAGAGTGAAAAATATTTGATAAATTTTCTTCTAAAAATATTTTCTTCAATCTTTCTTTTCTAATCAACCTTGTCTACATTTCTATTTTAACAAAAGTTTTTTTCTTTTTTTAAATTATAATACTGCAGATGTCTCTGATCTTCCGGAAGAAATAAAAAACTGCATTCAGTTGAAGATTCTTGATCTTAGCTCGAATCCTATTACAAGGTCAGTAATTTATCAGTTCTTTCATCCATATCTATTTATAATACTTATCTACTATTAATCTACTATTAAAGTAGTATTAAAGTAGTATTGTTTATGATAGTATAATTATATCTACTATTAAAGTAGTATTGCTTAAAAGAAATTGGCATTTTTTGAATTCATACACAGTATTTCAAATTTTATTAGCAACTGGCAAAACAAAGAAAATTGTTAGACTTTAAAAGTTGTCAGAAAGAAAATTATCAGATTAATGTTTATGATATAATTATTGAATACAAAAAACGCTGAACTCATTTTGTTTAGGCTACCAGCAACAATAACTCAACTAACATCAATGACCAGCCTTGGTTTAAATGACATTTCACTCACTCAAATGCCTCATGATATTGGTCAGTTGCGGAATTTACGGTCCCTGGAAGTTCGTGAAAATTTATTGCGAGCAGTACCTTCTTCAATTAGCCAATTAAACCAGTTACGAAGGCTAGATCTTGGTCATAATGAACTTGATGATTTGGTTAGTTTTTTAATCTCTTGGAGTCTATCACTCGTTTTGTTCTACCCATAACTAAAAAGTTATGTTCGGCTATCAAATATTTGACAAGTTCGAGACGTTTGCTTGAATTCATCTGTTCTACTTTATATATGTTTTGACATGTTGCTCCTAAATTTCAGATGTTGTTTCTCTATCATTTTAGCCAAATGAAATGGGTATGTTGGAGAATTTGGAAGAATTGTACGTGGATCAGAATGATTTGGAAGCTCTTCCCGAATCGATTGTTCAGTGCCGTTCGTTAGAACAATTAGATGTTTCCGAAAATAAGTTAATGGTCTTGCCGGATGAGATTGGAGATTTAGAAAAGCTAGACGATCTTACCATTGCTCAAAATTGTCTTCAAGTGTTACCGAGTTCAATTGGCAAGTTCTACATATATTTTTCAGGTTTTAGGGATCACTATTGAAAAAGAGTTTCTGATTGTTTGCTTTTATCGGTAGTTGTTTGTTACGGGAATTATTGAGGTCATATATTTTTTAGTATTATTTGACTGATATATGATTCCTTTTCTGAATCGTTATCCTATTTCAAAACGAAATCATGTAGTATGAAATACTAATTGACGGCTCTAAAGAATTGTTTTTATAACATCCATAGTTTGGTCTAAAAATTATCCCGCAGTAATCATTTTAATTACCATCTCTTCTTGAAGCTTTTTTGCTAGAATAATAGTGATATATGAGTGAGTTTGCTAGAATAATAGTGATATATTTTTGCTAGAATAATAGTGAGTTTGCTAGAATAATAGTGATATATTTTTGCTAGAATAATAGTGATATAATAATAGTGCTAGAATAATAGTGATATATTCTCTTCTTACAGGACGCCTGAAGAGGTTGTCTATGTTGAAAGCAGACCGTAACGCAATTACGCAGTTAACGCCAGCAATTGGTAGCTGTCATGCATTGACAGAAATCTATTTAACAGAGAATTTGCTCACAGTAAATTGTCTTTTCTTCTGTTTTCGATGTTTATGATTAAATGTAAACCCGATTTGTGACTACCTTATTCTATGAAAATTGATTATGAAGTTAGCTCTAAATGGTCAAGTCTTTAAAATTGTAAATTTAAAAGTAATTAAGTAGTAAATATAACTTTCTAAGCTCGTTCTATGGGAAAATTATGTAAAAATCCACATTTAGCAGAAATAATGAGTGTAATGAATTTTCAGGAAATTCCTAGTTCAGTAGGTAATTTGAAAAGCTTGCGGACACTCAATTTGGATAAGAATCAGTTAAAGGAACTTCCTCCTACAGTTAGTGTTACTATAACTTCTACGACAGATTTGATTTTATTGACTTTTTATCGTCACATTTTGCTTTTTTCTTTTTTCTTCCTATTGTAAAAAAATGTCGTTCAGTGAGATTAAAAGTTGACTTGATAAACAAACAAATGATGTTCTCTTAGAAATAGCTGTTTTCAGATTGGTGGTTGCACCTCTTTGTCAGTTCTTTCACTTCGTGATAATTTAATAGAGCAACTTCCACTTGAAATTGGGCGACTGGAAAACCTGCGAGTATTAGATGTTTGTAATAATCGTCTGAATTATTTACCGTTTACAGTAAACGTTCTTTTCAAGTTAAGAGCTTTGTGGCTGTCTGAGAATCAGGTGAGGATCACTTTTTACATCTAACATCCGAAATTATACGCGTTGAGTTTTTTAAAACCATCTTTTTCGCATCATTAATTTTCCGAGACGTTTATTAATTTATCCTTAAGATGTTTGGATTTATTCTTATATTTAAATATTCGTGATCGAATCCTTATTTATCAAGGAAGTTTTTTTGTTTGTCTTATTATTACTATTTTAGTCGCAAGCAATGTTGAAATTGCAAACGGAGCAAGACCCAAGAACAGGAATCAAAGTTCTAACATGTTATCTCCTGCCGCAAAGCAATTCACAACCTGGTATTTGAAAACTTTCTTACTTTTAATATTTCTTTATTTTTCCGAACGACCTGTTAAACAGATGACAAATCGTTTCACCATTGAGTTGCTATATTGCAGTAGAACATGCTCCACCAAACCGTTCTTTCATCGGTGGTCCCAAAGTACATTTTGGTAGCGATCTGGAAGAAACGCATGATGATGAGAACGAAGTAGGACAGTTTTCGCGACATGACACTCCTCATCCAAAGCCACACTCTCATACACCGAAGTTCAAAAAGCAATCTATTGATGGTCACATCATTCATCATGATGATGACGTAAGTGACACTTAGATTTTTTTTGTAGTTCACTGGAAGGATACATTCTTTGATGACCAAGTGGTTATTGTATTTTATAGAAATTTCGGTGAATGAATGCCTACTAATTTAAGTAACTTTAAGTAAGACTAATATATTTTCTAGGCTTAAAGGTAAGTTGCGAATTTAGGGAACTTGAATGCTTTTTTTTCAGGATTTATAGCAGTACGTTGTTTACAAAACCCACCGGAGGTTTGCGCACGCCGTTTTCCCTAGCGACAATTCTTGTTGCTTACTGTTTTTTTTTTGCATTATTAAAGAGCTTTCGTGCCGTTATGCTTGATAAAATTTATATGAATTTTTCCATCTAACTTCTTGCAGCATAACGAATGAGTTAATAAGCAGGAGATAGTTCCAATAATTTTTTTTCATTTTATGTTAATTAATTGATTTTATCCGGGAGACGCGCTAAACTGACATGATTTGTTTACTGATTATATTTTTAATGTGTCAAAATAGAGTGAGACTATGCATTTGCATGTTATTGGTGTCTTATTAACTCAGTTTGTAATTTCCAATTATTTATTGTGTGAACTTATAACTTTGCTTCCTTTTGCAGCAGTCCACAAAACCACCAACACTGACATTGAATTCTGGCCGAAAACGTGGTCCTGATGAAGGTTTACCTCGTCCATTGTCTCCAACTGCACCGGGAGCTACTCAAATTGCTTCACTTCGAAGTGCATTAAAACATCCACCTGTACTACCATCAGCTGCTAATTTTGATCACAATGTAAGCTTCTATTTTGTTTTAGTATTTCATCGTTTGATTTACATTTGCATTTAAGTAAAAAGATGACATACTACGTCTGTCGTGGTCATTTTTTATAGTTTTTGAGGTTATTTTTGTTATGCTACATATCATATGAGGCGAAAAAGAGTTGGAAATTTCCGTGCACTTATTATGATTGATTTCACTAAAATTTAGTGTTGCACCTTGATTTATGCTGCTAACAAAATAGAATTCATAGAATTTACAAATTCCAATTGATATGGAATTGTAAATGATTAACTGATCAATATTTTTTGATCATATTATAAATAATTATTTCATTATTTTAACAAAAACTATCATCTGACTATCGAAATCTTTTTTTAATTGAAACTGAATCGAAGTGTCAGATTCTAAGTTTAAGAGGAACAACTCTGAAGTTGACATGTCATTAGAGAGTATATTATTTAGCTCTTCCAGTAAGATGACATTACTGGTGAATTTTTATGAAGCAGATGAAATATTAGTTGCCTGTTGCTTATGTTTGAAGATATAGGATTAGAAAATGGTCCTGCCATGCTTATATTTTTTTCACTTTGATACACAGTACTGTATTTATCACTAGTCGTTTGATTTCATACGCCACTTTCAGATTGAACGCATAGTAGATCAGAGGCAAAAGTTATCACCAGGTGTTGAAATATTGAATATAAAAATTCATCGTGATACAAATGGAGGCCTTGGATTATCCATTGCTGGTGGTTTAGAATCAACACCTTATAAGGCTAGTTTGAAAAAAATTATCACTTATAAGAACTTTTACCATAAAATTTTAAAAGATTTAAAAATGACGATGGCACATATAGCCTTTAAGTTAAGGAGGATTATTCTATACTATTTCAGGATGACGACACTGGTTTATTCGTCTCGAAACTTATTGATGGTGGTCCGGCGATGATTGCTGGACTACGAGTTGGTGATAAATTGCTTCGTGTTAATAAAACAGATGTAGTCAATGTGCGGCATCAGGCATGTTTTCTTATTCATTTGTCTTATTCATTTATCTGCGAAACTTCGGGAATATTAAGAATGAACAACATTTTGCCTTACTGTTTTCGATCATAAACCAACATGAAGCGAAAACAACTCAATGTATTTTTTGAATTTCATTTTCTTCTATGTTTGCTGTTCAGGTAGCGGTAACATCAATGCAGGACGCTCGAGATGTCATAGAGTTGACGATTTTACGTGATTCGCGTGAAACGCCGTCTTCCTATATTGCTTCCAGCGGCTATACTGTGCGGAGTTTTGATTTTCGGAGTTTGAATTTTCTTCCTTAATATTAAAAATTTTGTTTTTTATACTATTCATTTGATGCATCCAAAAGGCGAAGGGAATGAAATGTGAATATCGTTTTAGATATCTCCAAATCAGAGTATTGATAACTCATTTGTTTCGGAGTCTGCCGAAGTGTCATCATCAATGACAAAAGAGACGATTTCAACAACGATTCGCCGGGATATGAATGGTTCGCCAGGATTCAGCGTTGCTGGTGGTACAGGTGATGTAATTGTGATATCAAGTATATCTTCTGGAGGTGCAGCTGAAAGGGATGGCAAGTTGCGCGTTGGTGATCGCGTACTTTCTGTAAGATTATTTTTGAAGATTTTTAAACGAATTTCTGTACTTTCAACTACAAATACGCATTGCAAGAATTATTTTCATTGAAATGTATTTTGTTTACTTTCATACGTTTATATGTAACTCAGATAAATGGCACAAATATGAGAGGGGCACGACATGACCAAGCAGTGTCATTACTGACGGGACATAGTGGAAGTGATATTTATTTGGTGGTTCAGAGAGATCGTGCAAATCAAAATGTTGCCATAACTCCTTGTTCACCGAGGTAATTGCTTTCTAAAAATTGCATATTACATATTTGACATAATTAACATCCAAGTTTTAATAAGTGAACTTGAAAAATCGTATTTAAGTTTATCATCAACAAAAACACACACAGTTGAGCGGATGTCGCCGTTAAAGAAATATGGCTTCGGTGATCCTTCTTGGGATGGTAAAACTGAGGTTAGTTATTATATTATCATTTGCAAATACCATATCTAATATGTTTGCTTCTCTTACAATAAGTACGAGGAAATGTTTGGATGTTGAATCAGATAAACTATAAATAATATTAGAGAATCTAAGTTTTTTCTGTGGTACAGTTTATAGTTGCATTCACTACAAGAAAAGAGTGCTGTTTTAATCGGTTACTTTAATTCCTCAGTGTAATTGAAAGAATACATCCACTAAGAAAATATAGCAAGGAAATTCAGAAGCAGTGGAGAAACATTAGCACTGACTGTGGAGTGCATTAATTAAGTCTCACCACTCCAAGTTTTTTAAATTAAATTTGCTTTTCACATGCATGAAATAACTTTGCAGGAAGTAGAACTTGTACGTGATAATCACTCGCTGGGCTTATCCATTGTTGGTGGCAGTGATCATTCATCGCATCCGTTTGGTGTCAACGCACCTGGCGTATTTATTTCAAAAATAACATTAAATTCACCTGCAGGTCGTTCACAGAGATTACGTATTGGAGACAGGATATTATCGGTGAACAATATTAATATCCGTACAGCGAAACATCAAACAGCAGTTGAGGTATTTCATCACAGTTATTGTATCTTGTTACATTGTGGAATCGTTCGGTTACTATAATTTTTCTTGTGATATCGCTTTATCTTTACAAATTATTCCTTGTTTATTGCCGTGATTAAGAAAATGCATCATTTCAGCAAGCTTAAACCGTTTGCAAAGCTTTGGCATGTCATTTTCAAAAAGTAAAACTTTGTCGTTCCCACTTTATTTTCATTAAAAATTTTATTTTTAGGCTTTGAAACAAAGCGACAGGACAGTACGTTTGTTAGTCATTCATGAGCCACAACCACCAGGTTTAAGACAATTAACGATCAGGCGAAACGTTGGCGAAGCACTAGGATTAAATATCTGTGGTGGTATCGGTAGTCCACCCGCAAATCCTCTTGACAAATCTGATGAAGGCATCTTCATTGAAAAGGTTCGTTTCATTCATGAGAAAGCACAATATATGATAGTGCTAGAATGAAGATAGAAAGATTTATGGATGTAATAACTTGTGTAAACTTAAATTAATATTCTGTTTTTAGGTGGAGCGTAGTGGTCCTGCAGCTGCATCATCGTTATCGGTTGGAACTCGTATTTTGGAGGTTAACGATGAGTCTCTCCTGGGATGCTCACAGGAAGAGGCAGCTCGTATTTTACGTCAGTCTGGCACAACTGTACGGCTATTAGTATGTGATGCTTTCTGTGTTCCTTCTGCTGCTGTAAGTTTCAGCTCTCAGTCTTATAAAATCTTAAGAAATTACATCATTAGGGAATAGTTAATTTTTTTAATACTTCGCCATGAAGCATTTAATATTTAAATATAAATATCAGGTTGTATTTTTTCTGTTTTTTCTTTTTTTTTATTTCTTTACTTTTAACTGTAATAACTTTTCCATCTTTTTGATTTACTGCAATAACTTACTATGATTTTATTAAAATAATTTTGATTTGAAACATTTTCAGAACTTTTTGTACTTTTGTTTCCCTTATCTGTTCTTCAGCTTTTTTAAAAGTATTTTCAGATTATGCATTTGATTTTTGCTTACAGGTGTCTTCCTCATTCATGAGTCAAACCAGTAATGATACGCGAGTTATAGCTGGCGAACGTCAAACTACTATTTCCAGAAATCTTTTAAATGCCGACATTCAAGAATCATTAAATGATTCCTCATCGCATCCATTTAAAGCACCTTTATCGCCGGACACTGGAGCTTCCGAAACAATCAGAACTCTCGCTTCCATTTCGACTGACAGTCCTTTAGCTGCTTCTTCTCCAATTCCGCCTGTTTCTTCATCTTCTGTTGTGGTTATTATTCTATTATACAACTAACCAATTACTTTTTTAGCTTAAACGTAAATCTTAGGATATTGATCGCTTATGCGAACAAGGAAATTTTAATTTTATCAAAAATGGGATGCATAGTTAACGTAATAAGCACAACTGGCTATCAGCATTAGCAACGATGCTTTGATTTTTTTCTTGAGAAGTTTGACAAAAATTATAATGTGAGGGAGAGGAGAAAGGACATATTTAAAAATTGAGCAAAATTGAGTCATACATTATTCACAAAGTTGAAATTTTTTGGAATTTTTTGAAAATAGTTGAAATTTTTTTGCTTTGAACGTAAAATCAATTTCTCTTTTTCTAAATCTAATTCTGGCATTTGAATTGCAAAACGTGAATGAAAGCTGAAGAAAAATATGTCAAAAAGACTTAAAATTTTCGAAAATTTGAGAAATCGGAAAAGCGATTTTGTAACCTTCAAGCGATCTATAAGCAAATACATGATTTTTCAAAGATTCCATTACGAATATCTAGAAGCAATTTCTATTATATTGAAATAGCAAGATAACTGAAGATCTAATCTTGAAATTGTTGTGATTCTAACGCAGGCTGTATTGAAATGAGGCATATTTCTACATATGTAGATGTGATTAGCAATGTAGCTTCCATATTTGGTGAAATCAGTACCACAAATTTATTTTGTTTCTCGATTCATTCTGAATTTTTAGGCACCTCCATCAACGTCAAGCTTATCGCAACCTTTGTCTCCGTTTTCGTCATCGAATACGACCACATTTTCTGTCTCAAGTCTTCGTCCAGCAGTACCTCCCCCGATTGCTCCAAAGCCGAGAATCATTCCAAATCAGGTAATAGATACGTTGTGATTTTTTTAAAGAATATCCATAAATTTTTGTCAGGTTTAGGGTTTTAAATTTCCACACTACTCTTTTCGTTTAGTCTAGAATAGAATCTATGAAATTTTTTGGGGAAATATGAGATTTAGTATAACCGTTTAAATTCGGTGCTCTTTTGTGTTGTTCCTTGCTTGTGATTTTTTTTTTGCCACACTTCTAAAAATTTGCCTTTTCTGCTTTCGAACGTTTGATTTCTTTTATGAACCGTGCTCTTTCTTTTTCAAATTTGATTTCGTTCTCTTGTCAATTTACTCAAATTTTCAAAATTCTTTCAACATTACGTAACATTTAAAGATCTGGGTTGCAATGCCTCATTGTTAAACTTTCTTGAAATTAAATTAGATGCTTGATATTAACGTTGAATTGAATGCTCGTTGCTTATTTTCTCGCTTTCTGTTCATGTCTTTCAAAATATATATGTGAATCTAGAGACAACATAAATATTAACATTCATTACTGATGTTTCATCTTAACAAATCAAAATTGCGCTTGCCAATGCCTATTAGAATGCCTATGCCTATTAAAAATGGTAATACTGTATCCCTAGTGTTTTTGGCATGACGGCATTTTTATACAAGATTCTCTCCTCATGCAAGATGAAAGCAAATTCGATCTCTAATAACCCAATTTTTTAGAATTGAAAGATGGACTGAACTGTTAGTAAAACCAGGCTGGAACGGATTCAAACATGAATAACTGTTGCGTAACTTGAATAGAATACATGTATTGTCTTTCCCTGTTAGGAATTACATAAACCTTAGTTAGTATGTTTAAAAATATACGATGGAAATATTTTAAACTGTTGTGTTTTTCTAAATTTTGATGGATTTTAAATATATTTATTCGCAGAATGGGAATGCAGTTGGCGCATCTTCACCGCTCACTTCTTTTGATGAACAATTTGAAAAGCAAAAAGAGCGCACAATTTCGTCAGCGCAGGTGTTTTTTCTGGAGAATTGTGTTATTGTTCTATTTTTTCAACTTCCTCGCAATAATAGCTGAAAATTTTTTTTGGACGTTTTTATATCTTTTAAGCCTGCTTTTAAAATCATTACTTTCTAAAATATTAGTTTTATAGAAGGGAATGATTTTGTGCGAGAGAAATGAGATAATTTGCTGTTATTATGCTTGAAGTGTTTCAAAATTTAGTTAGCAAAACTAAGATGGAATAAAAGAAGAATCCGTTTTCAGTCCTCATCTCCATCCACGTCGTCTTGGTCGTCAATTCCGAATCCCGAACGGTTGGCGTTTTCGTCGAAATTAGAGAAATTCGAGCGCGAAATTGAAATTAAAAGGCCAGACGCTAACCCCACGACAAAATCCACCCTTCCTCCTGGTTAGCGCTTTTAAAATAAGACTTTTTTTCTTAATTTTTAAAATATGTTTCATTGACCCTATTGTTAGTTATCACATCAGAAATGCATGGCAATATTAATGTTAAATTCAATTCTTTCATTTAATAGCATGATATTTCCATTTCTTGTTGTTTGAAATTCTTTTTGTTGCAAGCTTTGCATGCTGCTTTAGGTTTGTTTCTGGATAAAATTGGAATCCATCTCCCATATTGCTTATTTTTCAGTAGATAAGAACAGTTTTAGAGTCAGTTATGAATTTGATTGACAGATGGGAAGAAACTATGGCACTATCCAATATCTTCACAATGTTTTTTCAGTTATGGTCGTTGCTTGTTTTTGTTCCTATAATAACAATTTAAATGATTAAAAGGAATCCGTTAACAGCATTTTATTATTCTGGACCTTAAGATTTAGAAAAAGTTCTAGGCTTTTTGAGAAAAAATTATTGAGAAGTTGATTTTTTGACGGTGAATTTCTGTACCCCGGACTACCTTTCTATTTCAATCAAATTTAAAGTTTCGGTTGAAAGATAGTTTCATTTATAAATGCTGTTAAGTAAATTCCCGTTTTTCTGAAGTTTCAAAAAATATTAGAAAAATTTCAGTCCTACAGAATGCCTGGGTATAATGTAAAACGATCATGGCCATCAACTTATATTGCTGTGGTATCCGTTGGAGTACTTCTTCTGTAATTTATTGTGCATTCTGGATGTTATTACCGTTGTTTATTTGTAGCCATTTTACTTATCTTTTCGGTTTTTTTATTGTTTTAACCATGTGCAGTTTTAGACTGAAAATGTTTTCAAGAGCAGATAAAAAAAACTTTAGATACTTTCCAAAGATTTCCCTCAAAATTATGTACCATCTAGCAAATTATACAAAAAATTCATAAAAATTTTGTCAGATCTCTTGAAATTTTTTAAAAATTCTTCTAAGAATGAAGGAGTAAGACTGAGTAAAACTCAGTTGATTCACTCAATTATTCAACAAGTTCAGATATAACAAAATTCACTACATTCTTACTCGTTACCTAAAAACAAATTGTCTTTCTTTTCCATCCTTTCGATTATCTATGCTTTTCTTTATAGTTTCATGTCCCCATCAAATTTTCCCCTCCAATCAAGTTTAAGCGTTAAAATTTTTATTGATATCTTTCATTTGGTCATCGCAGAAAAGCGTTAGATTTCGAATAAGCTTATAATTATCACACCCGAAACCGTAGATTATTTTGATTTCATCAGTTTTAATATTGTAAAAAGATACATACACATGCAGGGAATAAATGCATACTATAAACTTTTTTTATTGTTCCATTTTCTTTCACTTCTCAAACTGTCATTTAATTTTGCTTGACATGCAAAAATTCTTTCAATGCGATAAGTTTAAGAAATCAAAAAATCATATGCCATTTT